GGGATTCCCTATTCTTTATATGTTGTGAGCCCTACATACAAGCGGTAGACACCACACTACTCCCGGTTGCCAAACATTTCAGCTTACTACCAGATACTTTTTATGAACACTCAGTGTGCGACATTTCATTTTGATGAATACATTTAAAGGGACACTGTAGGTGCTGTGTCCCTTTTGCACCTAGTGCTGCAATGTCAAACATTGTAGTTCCAGAGAAACTGCAATGTTTACATTGCAGCACTTAATCTGTCCTCAGTGGCTGTCTACGGGCGTTTCCGGAATCTAAATGGACTTTTGGTCCGTTATCTGACGCTGTACGTCCTCACGCTCTGCATAGTTTGCTTTCCTATGGGGAGGTCCCTCCGACGTCCTGCGACGAGCAGGGTCTAATGCGCATGCTCTGCTCCCCTCCGACGTCCCGTTAGACCCTGCTCCCTGGGATACGGTAAGTAAATAAAGGGTTTTTATCCCTTTACCTACCCAGGAGGGGGGGTGGAGGGAGGACAAGGAAGGGCAGAGGCAGAGGGATCAGTAGTGCCAGGAATACAGCTTTGTATTCCTGGCACTACAGTATCCCTTTAACCCCTTAAGGACACATGACATGTGTGACATGTCATGATTCCCTTTTATTGAAGAAGTTTGGTCCTTAAGGGGTTAATGGAGCTTTGACCAGCTCACGGTTTAACTTTCTTTCAATTTTCAAAACAAAAATTTTATACACACTTACTGAGAATCAACCATATCAATTTACAGGGCCACCAGATTTTGTCTGAGTGGGCAAAATCCGATGTTAATGACCGCATTTCGACCGCATTGACAATACTCATATTTTCAAAAGTAAAATGCTGTCCGATCAACTCTGAAACACTGGTTCCGATGAGCTTGAAAAATCACTAATATCCGCATCAATTTTTTAAATGTATTTTTTCTTTGATGTCTTTTAACATGGAATATTTATTAGGGGTTTTCGGTTATGTAGCCCTGACATCCACCATGTTCTTTAATTTTTTTTATAACCAATAAAATGTTTAAAAAACAAAAACAAATTTGAGTTAATCAAATATTTTGCGTCAATCTAACCTGATTTTATATAAAATCTATAATCTGCTCATTCTACATTGTTACAGTGTATAGTCAAAGAGGAAGAGTCATGCATATTGAAGTAACATTGCAGTACATATCTGAACAAATAATGGATATGCATGGGTAGCAAAAGAACAGTATAGCTGCTATCTTGTCAATGCAATCAGCCTAGGAGCAGTTTAAGTCATTGTATTTTCTATGCTGTTTAATAAATGTGACCAATCAGAACATGGTTCAGTCCCAGTTGGCTTTGCCTAGTACCTAGTTGATGCACAGTAGCACTTTGAACAAGATCCATTTCATTTTTAATTAAATCTCTTTGCCTTGAAATTGCATTGCTCTGACCTTTGTCCCAGAGCAAATGTCCTGCCCTCACTTTAATTACGCTGCTGGCTGTAACACAATTCAGTTAGCTGCCCACACGCAGTGCTCTGTACGTAGGCGACCGCGTGGTACTCAGAGGTCAAATTTGACAAGATGTGTATAAATGATGAAACGGAGTTGGATGCCACTCATAAAGCAAGCAATAAAATAACATTTAGATCCTGGGATGCACTTGAAAAATAGTAGTACTGGTCTAAATCCTTCGATTATTATTAACTGTTTACATTTCTCTAGGATAAACAGGTTTTCATGGAATGTAAAGGAAAATTTCAAGCACCATAACCACTATCGCGTGAAGTAGTGTTTATGGTGCCAGAAGTGCCCTAGTGCAACCCCCCAAAAAAGGAGTCAAACCGTCTGAGAATGGTTTGACTTATTACCAGAAGTCCGCTGGTCGCCATTCCTTACCTTCACTACCTCAGTCAAAAAGCTGCTTAGCAGCTGATCGCTCTCAGCCAATAAGCTAAGCCTTGCAGAGCCAGATCAAGCCACACCATTCTGAAACCAGTTGACTATTTACAATAGGATCAACAGGGAACTTCTGTAACTACTACCACTACAGTGTGCTGTAGTGGTTATAGTACTTGGAATGTACCATTAAATAACAAACAGGGCTAATCCAGCTTCTGGAATCTATGGGCTACAATCCTGATAGAAAAACAGACGTAAGGTCATATGAAATATGTTTATATTATGAGTGAAGGACAGGCATATCTTCTCTTTCTTTCAGAATATGGGATGGCCCTTTTTTAAAAAAAAATTTCTATGGGCAGTCGCTGAGGAGTATACTGGCGTCCCCTAATTTCCAGTAGATGTGGTGCAATCTAACATTGGAAACGTGCAGTATTGCTCCGTTTTCTGGACACTCTATAAAATGTTGCAGTTATATTTCCAATGGCCACTTGCATTTTATTTTCCAAAAGCCTCCTTCATTCTATGGCACTGACACATTTAACGAAGGTAAATGTTTAGGAGTTCACTGAGAACGAAATCTCCACCACCATCGTTGAAGGAAGGAAGGCAGTAACCTCAAGACATAAAGACAGGGTGGCTGTGTTCAATTGGCTGTGGCTAGAAATCTATATAAGGTGTCACTAAAACCTAATAAAAACATAAAACTCACTATATAGGTGTACACCCCTGCCTCCTCAAAAGGATTTAAGATGTTTAAGAATTACTTATTTTATCCCCAGTGGTGTGCTGGTCTTTCTGCAGCTGGCCCCGCCTCCATGGCTGAGATCAGTCTTGATGATCTTAGCCAATCCAAACCTTCCCCATAGGGAAGCATTGGGAGGCCAGAGTGCGTAAGCAGCAAATCACCACACTGCACCAATCAAATGGTCTCTAGAAAAAGTTCTAATGGAATAACTGAGTGTAACTCAATTATTGCAGCAGAAGCGCCTCTAGCGGGTGTCAGTAACAGGAAGTCAACCACTAGTGGTATGATTAATCCTGCAACGAAAACTGCCTTTTTTTTTTTTTTTTTTTATACAAAATGGCATTGTTTTACATTTCAGGGTTAAAACGGCCAGGGCATTGAGATGAAATGGTCTGACTGCATTCAGTGTCACTTTTACTGACTATAAAGTTACACTACCATGATAAATTGTCTCTGCATTATTACAAAGAGTATCTTAAATATTGCCTTAAAGGAGCACGCCAAGGTCAATAGCCACTACAGTGCAAGTAGTCAGGCCATTTGCTAATAGTTTGGCTACATACATTGAGTGGGGACACCAATATGTATGTATATATTTAAATTATTTCCAGCTAATGTTAAGTACACTGAATAAAACGTAATCTATAAGTGCATTAGAGTATTATTCAGTAGGATGCAGAGAATTTCTGATTCACTGCTTACATTATAAGCACTCTGCAGCCTTGCTTTTTTTATTAGTAACGGTTGTGGTGTAATTTCAAGATGGCCACCTCCACAGTGACACATTGAAAGAATGACAAAGGCAATTACAGCAAAACATAAACAAAAGTTAGATAAAAAGAATGCTAATCTATTGGTAATAATCTTTTATAATCATCTGTGAAAAGAACTTTTTTGTAATGGTATTGCAAAAAGTTTTATTGCGTATATTTTTATTTGATAAATATTTTATTATATTATTTTTCATATATACCCGTATATACTCGAGTATAAGTCGACCCGAATATAAGTCGAGACCCCTAATTTTACCCCAAAAAACTGGGAAAACTTATTGACTCGAGTATAAGAAAATGGGAAATGCAGCAGCTACTGGTAAATTTCTAAATAAAATTAGATCCCAATAAAATTATATTAATTTAATATTTATTTACAGTGTGTGTATCTAATGAATGCAGTGTGTGTGTGTATATAATGCAGTGTGTTTGTGTGAGTATGAATGCAGTGTGTGTGTGTGTGTGTGTGTGTATGAATGCAGTGTGTGTATGAATGCAGTGTGTGTGTGTGTGTGTGATGCAGAGCCTTGGTGGGGGGTGGGCATTTATTTTTTATTATTATTTTTTTATTTATATTATTAATATTTTTATTTTATTTTAATATTATTTAATTTTTTATTTATATATTTTTTGTCCCCCCTCCCTGCTTGATACATGGCCAGGGAGGGGGGCTCTCATTCCCTGGTAGTCCAGTGGCATGGGCTGTGTAGGAGGGAGGGGGCTGGCAGAGAGCTGTAACTTACCTTTCCTGCAGCTCCTGTCAGTTCCTTTCTCTCTCCTCCAGTCCGGTCAGCTCCCCTGTCAGCTCCCACGGTAAGTCTTGCGGTGTGAGCTATCGCGAGATAGCTCGCTGCCAGCCCACAACAGGACCGCCGGGCTTGTAATGAGCCCGGCGGTCCTGGTCTGTATTATGGCAATGTAAGTTGCCATAATACAGACAGTGACTCGAGTATAAGACGAGTGGGGGTTTTTCAGCACAAAAATGTGCTGAAAAAGTCGTCTTATACTCGAGTATATACGGTATATATATATATATAATATGAAATATTAACTTTTTTATGTATTATTTTTTTTTTTTTTTTATAAAAATGCAGAGGCCTGCAATTTAAAATTCTGAGAAGCACAATACTTGTCTCCTCCCAGCATGATGGTCATGGTTGAGTTACAGAGGAAATGCAATGTATACAAACACAAGCAGGGTATGCAAAAGGTATGGAATCTTGCTAGGTAACTAGTGAGCAATGTCAGAAAGGTGCAGCAGCTAGAAATGGACCATAATATCACAACACTAAAAGTCCCTTTAAGATATACATAGACAGAAAACTTCTAATAAGCAGATTCTCCCAACCCAGATTATTTACTCCATTGTTTACAGAGCACCATAAGACAGGGCAGGCAAACTTTGGTGCTGATGTGAAAGAATCTACCGAAGTCCAGTATTCCATTATCTCCACAATATGGAGTAACTAGTAACTTGTTGGACAAGGTTAGAGGAGGCATGAGGAACTGGAAATAGAGTATATCACTAGTAGTGATGTCGTGAACCGTTCGCTAACTTGCCGCGAACGGTTCGCCACGATCCGTTCGCGGCGAACTCCGGTCAGCTGACACATCCCTGCCAATGTCCGGCAGACCCTCCCTCCCAGACCCTCCTACTTCCTGGACAGCATCCATGTTGAAGGCAGCTTCAACATGAATGCTGTCCAGGAGGTGGGAGGGTCTGGGAGGGAGGGTCTGCCGGAGATTGGCAGGGATGTGTCAGCTGACCGGAGTTCGCTGCGAACGGTTCGCAGCGAACCGCGGCAAACCGTTCGCGACATCACTAATTTAAATAAACACACTGAACCCACAATATCAACTGGTAAACCAAACACTATCAGGGCATTGCTGCAGTGTCTTTTTAACAGGGTATTAACTACAGTGAGAATTCAAGGCCAAAACAGCCAAACTGGAAAAAAAAGTTAACACTACTTCTAGTTTGGCTACTTTGGCCCTAAATTCTCATTTTAGCAAAACACCCTGTAAATAGAAATGTGGGGGATACAGACACGTGTGTGAGTAAATCTTATGATACGGGCTGGGCAAAAAATAAATTCTGTGCATCTTTTACATGTGTTGGATTGGCCGCTACAAACAACACTATTAAAATAAACCTGAATAAGAAGTAATTTACTAAATAAGCATTTAGATCTAAAACATTTTCTCTCTTATAAGGTTTTGGATGATGGACTCCCCCAAACTCTGCACTAGAGCAGTTGAGTGCCAACTATATGCACATTATTGCATTGGTGAGTGCATTAGTGGACTAATTATTGATTAAATGAAAAATACAAATGTTATTTTTATTTTTAACTGAATCATTAATAGGCTGAAAGTGTCATTGTTATGTGTCTGTTGGTTGGTAATTTGAAGGGAAAAAAGGGAGAAAGGAAAAAAGAAAAATGTACAGGTGCCATCCATCAGTTTAATGACAAAGCATTTTAGGAACTGTAAGACCTTTATACATTAAATTGTAATTTTATGTAATCTGATATAATCTGGTTGCTTGTATGGCCCTGTATTGTACTGGATACCTCTTCAATAAAGCTTTAAACATTTTATATATATATATTTGATTAAATGAAGAAGTAAATTGTTAACTCATAATGGCTACACCTCACTTCAATGCCTGGCGTTGCAGTGTTCAAGTCTAAATTCTATTGCAAGTTGTACAGCTTTACCATGTTTATGCCTTCTGGGCATGAGTTTATCCTTATCACTTATTACTGAGAGCAGTGGCACACACATAATCCATGGGGCCCCAGTGTGAAACTGATCCATGGGCCCCCCTCCCACCCTCTTCCTCCCCTCCCATTCCCCCCCATCCCTGACAGGTACACATACACACATAGACACATACAGACACATATACACACACACACACACACAACACATATACATACAAAGAAACATACATACATACACACAGACACACACACACACATACAGACAGACAGACAGACAGGCACTACTATATGTACGCCACTGACTGAGAGGGTAGTGGATGCATGGAATAGCCTTCCAGCTGAAGTGGTAGAGGTTAACACAGCAAAGGAGTTTAAGAATACGTGGGATTGGCATAAGGCTATCCTAACTATAAGATAAGGTCAGGGACTAATGAAAGTATTTAGAAAATTAAGCAGACTAGATGGGCCGAATTGTTCTTATCTGCCGTCACAGTCTATGTTTCTATGGCTCAGCAGCCCTCAACGTCCGACGGTTCGTACTAAAGACAACCAGCCAGATGTACACAGTTCTGTGTATCGATTGTCCAACACTGAAAGTCACATACAACCAAGGAATCAAACAAGACACAGCACTACCTGATACTCAATGCTCCCAAAAGTTAAATTCACTCTTCAAATTTTATACATTTTCTTTTTTCTTTTTTTACAGAATAAGATATATCCCAAATGTTTTGTTGTGTCTTGGGAAAAATTAAATTGACAGAAACAACTGTTGAAATAAAACAAAACCTCGAGAGATTTTCAAGCACGGCAATATCGTGTAATGAAGTCAACCTTTCAACACAAGTTGGTGCAGTGAGACCGTACAGATCATAAAAGTGCAGTTAATTTCTTCAGTAATAAAGTGAAAGTCTAATATCTACGGTCATTACCGCTTCAATTACCCCATCTGCTAGATCTTCCTAATAAGATATATACTGTATTCACTGCTTAATGCAACGTTCCAAAATCTGGCGGCACAGTCTGAGAACGCGGAACGGTAATTGCCTTAATGCAACAAAACAAAAATGATACACTTTCACGCTTAAAAAAGTCAAACGTGCTTTGGCTGTTAAAATGAGTCAGTGAGCCAGCCATCTAACATTAGATGCACTGCCGAGCGCAATACATAATTTATTTTTAATTTGCAAAAAGTTATATTGTGATTGCCAGCTAAAAAAACAAAAACTAAATCGCAAATAGGCATCCAGTTCCAAGCCAAATTCGTCAAAGAAAAAGTCAAAGAAGTCTGAGATGATGTCAATGGTGAGCCACCATATCTCTTGACTCTGGGCAGAATAAAATTGATACTGGAATCACATAAAGGAAAAAAGCTAATGGGCAGAAATATTGCAATTTTTGAGAATATTTCTCTGGCATTCTACTTCAACGAACAGAACCAAAGAGAGAGGTCACAGTTCTGGACGATCACGTCTGTTCTGGGTCAATTTAGAGGTATGGTGTTCTCCCAGTGATGGTACAGGATTTCGAATTAGCCAGTTGGGTTTCACTATATCTTCCAATCTATACATTTTATCCATGACTTAGTACGTTATATTAGTCACTTGAGATTAAATAATTTTTCCTTAGCATTAATGACAAACATGATCTGACTAAGCATTATAGGAAATATAGTTCATGAACAACTGCTGTGCACTGCTCAGCCATAATGGGTCTGTCTGCTGTGGAAATACTTTTGAAATATACTATTTAAGTTTATTTAAAAAGACGCTCTAAGCACCAAAACTATTTTAGCATAATGAAGTAGCTTTAGTGTATAGATCACGCCACAACTGTCTTGTTGCTCAGTTTTCCGCCACTTAGAAGTTAAACCACTTTTGCTTATGTGTCTGTGTAGATGATAGCAGTGTGTTTTCTCTATAGAAGTTTTCTCTCCAGCTTTGTAAATTGAACTTTAAATAAAACACAATGTGCAATACAGGAAGTTTAAAGATTAGATCTCTCTTTACAGGAAATATATAGGGAGACTGTGAAAGTCACAAGAAGGGAGGTGTGGATAGGGCTGCATAAACAAAGTGATTTAACTTCTAAACGACAGATAATTGAGCAGTGAAACAGTAGGGGCATGAGCTATACACCAAAACAGCTATTTATGTTTTTAAAGATGACTGATATTTTTCTTTTATGGGTTTTATGGAACACGTTCTCCTGAACCCTTGTGCACGCCAGCTCACCAGCATATGATAGAAAATGGTTGTGAGTTGCGCCTACTAGCTGGAATGAAACAGGCAAGAGTATCTGTGATTTAATTGTGCATGTTTGCAAGCAAGAAAAAAAAAAACGAGGTTAGAATAAATTAGCAATGCATGCCTTTCTGTGTCTCGCCATAAGGTATTCGCTGCAAATTTAAAATAAAATCAATTTTTTATAAAATTTTCATTTTCTTATTATTTAAAAACCTACATAATCAATATTCAGGTTTTACACCCCCTAACATATCCTGACCCCAAATGTAAAGTTACCATGTAAAGCCTTGTGAATTGCTGTGAGTGGTAAAGAAAACATTTGCTGATACCATATGTGCAGAAGGCACACATAGCATAAGGAGTCTCACAGCAGAAGCATTACAATCTATTATTAAACACGCTGAAAAACTGCGGTTAAAAAATAAATAAATAACTTAATGTATCTTGTAGACCACTTTTACACTCTTCTGATTAATTCTTGACTCTGCTGATTTAAATTGATGTGTGCGTGACTGGTTAACTTTTAACACTCTCTCCGCACTTAAAGCCTCACTCATCTTACTGAAGCCGTCATTGTGCAAACCCCCTTTCCCTGCGTCTCTTTCTGAGTTGTGTTTCAAAGCTGTTGTGTAAAGCAGACACATACTCCATGGAATCCACGGATAAAGTGTAAAAAATGAGGCAAAAAGGTGGTTCTTTGGTGAACTCATTTGCATACGTTCACCCAGAATCCCTTGCAGTGATAATAGCTCTGCAAATGTGGGCTTTCTGAGGGAAAAGCAAGTTTTGATTGGCGTTTGGAGATCTGTGTTTAACAATGTACTCACTATATATTATTTATATATATTGCAATGGGACAACAAGGTAACCACTCAAACGCATGCAGGCTCATTGGCTGGGCCTAATAATAATTTTAGTTTGCAATGTCACAAAATGAATAGACACACAAAAAAAATGAACACTTGCAAAAGGCAGTTAAAGTTTTTAGGGCTGAGTAAATACTTGTGTAAATATTAGTAAATGCATATTTTTGTTTAGGTGCATTAAAAAAATACTAATTAGCATTTTTGGAGATAGAGCTTTTCTGACGTTAAAATAAAAATAGGAGAAAGTAATTCTATAAGCCCTGATAGTACAACCATATTTGTATCTTTTAAAGACATAAATTGGGATTTGATTTCCAGCTGTTTGACAACCTCTTTACAATTATTTCACCATGAACCCACCCCAACGTCAGGAGGAAGAGAGTCTAACTAACAGGTAATCACTCGGACATTCACTTCTAGCAGGTCTCTAAACAGTCTCGATTTGGGCCTGCTGGACGCCAGGCTGACATGCCCTTTCAGTGAATAATATGTTTTTGCTTTTGTTTACGCACCCTTCAGTGGGCGGCGAGCCCACTTCCCAGGCAGGCCTTTCCATTGTGAGTGACGCAAGTTGTGTCACTGTCAACGACCCCCTATAAAGACCGGCACACCCGTTTCGATTACATAACTCCTAATGTTATGAGATATGTTCTAGTGACAGTTCATTCAGAATTCTACAGCATTCTAAAGCATTACATTAATAAACATACAATTTAAAGAACGACACCATCCTGCACAAGTTAATGAATGTGTTTTTTTTTTTGTATCTTACAGTTGCATGTTTTTTGTTTTTTGTCAATGGATGCAATGGTCCTCTAGCCTAGAAAAGGGAATGTTCCGCATCGTTTCTTATAAAGAGCTAAAGGCTTATACTTGTGAGTGCTTTCACAAATCACAGATAAATGTCCAGTATGCATTTTTAATAGATTC